GAGAGAATATACAGAGTTCTTAAAGTGTGCAGTTGACCACAAGTCCAGAATGGGAACCAGGCACTGTAGCACATGCTGTAATTCCAGCCTTTTGGGAGGCTGAGGCAGGAGCATTACAAGTTTAAAGCCAGCCTTAGCAACTTAGGGAAGTCCTGAGCAACTTAGTGAGACCCTGTCTCAAAATTTAAAAAAAGAAAAAAATTAAATGGCTAAGGATGTGACTCAGTGATAAAGTGCCTCTCTGGGTTCAATCCCCAGTACCCCCCCCCAAAAAAAAGTTCAGAATGGTCTGGACTGTAGGGACTGGGGAGTGAAAATATTTAAAAGGGTCTGAATAAGTAGGCCCAAAATGAATTCATTCTAAAATAAATTCAACTTCCTACTTACTAGCAGCATGAATATTTACTTGTAGGAAAACTCTAGATTACACTGCTATGAAAAAAGTCCATTAATTCTTTGAATCAAATAATAAAAGCAGGAGAGAGAGGCCCTGCTAAGTGTGGGTGGTACTACTGACAGTTTGGTGGTTGGATTGGGCTTTTCAAAAATGATCACATTTGCAACATGAGTTTAACACAATATTTTGACTAGTGATTTCATGTCTGTAAAGGGTATTAATTGTTTGGGAATTTTCTCCAATGTTTAGAAGCTTTGTGTTTTGAACACATTGATTGATTAGTTAGTCTACAGCTGCTTCTGGGTGCTCAGCAATTTTCACTGTCTTGTTGCTATGAGACAAGGACGTCTCTGAATTCGCTAATGTGACAGGCATCAAGAAGAGCTGCTGGGCTCTGCCGACTAGCCACAGTGCCATCAAGCGGTCATTTAGCAAAACTGCTAGAGGAAATCGGTTTGTTTCCACTGTTCTCTAAACTCGTCTCTTTTCCAGATGAATTAGCAGATTAAGTGAACAGTGCAGAATTGTGTATTTTTTTATATATATATTCTACATACAATGAAGAATATTTTTCTGCAATAAATGAATCATGCCACAGTAAACAAAATGGCAAAGTTGAAAGCATGATAAATTGGATGGTCAAAGACATTGGTCTTGAGGGCCTCTTCTGAATGACAATGAGTTTGGTTTAGGTCTTTCAGTGTCTCTTCTGCTCTAAAAGTCTTTATTTCTTTGTTTCTCTTACATATGGTTCTTAGGGAGCAGCATAACCTCAAAGTTCATCCTGGTCAAGGATATCCAACAAATTTTGGTTATGTGACTTCAAAGTGAGTTTGAGCAAATGACAGCCAGGAGGGACTGTTCCCACAAGGAGGGGATTAATTGCTAAATTTATCTAGCAAATGACTCAGCTCTCCATGTGCTCGATGGAAATAGACCTGGTAAATTTGCCCTTCCTAAGCAAGAAGTCTGGCCCAAAACTTGTGATGGAAGACTCACAGGGAAGCTTATCTGTGTAGGATGTACTCTCAATAGCAGGTTGGTGGGATTAATGCTTTCACTGAGGATTAGAAGAAAGCAGTATTAGAATTCCACCTCAGAGGATGCATTCATTCTTTCTGCCTCCCTAATGGTTATGGGATCCCAGAACCAGGTGGGAGCACTATTCTGCTCTGCATCCTGCTTTCTATGGTCACCCACCATGGACGCCCATTTGGGGCCTATGTGACTGGATGTGTATAGTGCACCTCATTGTGTACCTGGTAAGACTGGGGTCATTTTTTTATTCTCTCCAATTGACTGTATCTTTGTGGCTTAATTCTAATTCTTTTCAAATAAATGTGAGGTGTGGTGAATGTTGTTCTTTTGTCATTGAAACTTAAGAAATTGTCAGTTAGTGCATTATATCCAGTTTCCTTCAACCTCAGGATCAAGTAAAATGCCAGAAATCCTGAATAGTAAACTAACCAAAAAAATACACTTTATTACATTCTTAGAGAACATAGCTGAATTTCATAAGACTTTGAGGCTTGCTTATGACTTTATTAACACTTTTGTCATTTGGGGGGGATTTGAAAAAACAACTCTACAACAGCAGCATCAGGCTGTCTCACTGAATTTCTACCTATTGGGTATCTCACAGAACACTGAAGACAGAATGGAGTTTCAAGATCACTTAGAATAGCCCAGTCCTGTGGTGCATATTTGTAACCCCAGTGACTCAGGAAGCTGATGTGGAGGATTGCAAGTTCAAAGTGGGCCTCAACAACTTAGAGAAACTCTGTCTCGAAAAAAAAAAAATTAAAAATCTGGGGGTGTAGCTAAGTGGTAGAACACTCCTGGGTTCCATTCCCATTACCCTCCACACACAAACGAAATCATCTAATATAACTCTTTAGTTTAAACCCAGACCTAAAGATTAGTAAAAATAAAATTGAAACAAATTATATTTTTTATAATATAATTTTAAAAAATAACATTCCATTGAAAAAGACAAAACCCAAAATCTATTGCAGGGGTCTTTTCTACTTTTTAACAAGTCCAAACGAAATAAATATATCTGGTTCGTTTTGTTAATTAGAGTACCATTTGCCAACAAAGAATTTGAAGTGGAGGAAAAGGGAGAAAGAAAAAAAATACATATACTATATTTTGAATTTGTTGGTTGAAGGAAGCATCTCAACTTAAAATTTTCAACTTTGTAGATGTTTTATAGATTCAATGTTTTGTTGTTATTCTTTGTCCAAAATACCAAACCTAGTTTTGTGTTATTTCCTGGTGTCTATGAAGTGGGAATGGACAGCTTCCCTCTCTGTCTGACATTAAGCAGCCCAAGTTCAAGAACCAAACCACAGCCAAGGGAAAAGTGAGGGCCAGCTCATTAAATTCTCTCTATACTTTTAAGAATAGCCAGATTTTTTAGACCTTACAATTTCAGCATAGTGGTCAGGAGAGCCATCAACAGTAGACTGGGGGTGGCCATTTGTATTTTCTAAGAAGACATCTGAAATGTCAAGGAAAGAGCCACAGACTTGCAGTCAGAGAATTGGAGTCTGACTGCCAGCCCTGTCACATTCCAATTTGTGGAAGTCACATAATTTTGAGTGCAGTTTTCACAGCTATAAAACAGATGATGATGATGATAAACATGTCACAGAATTGTTGAGGATAAATTGAGACAACACCTGTAAAATTCCTGAACAACAGGAGTTATTATTTGCAGCTCTTGTAGAGTATGAAGGTGTATACTAGTCTTGACTGTAAGCCCTTTATTGTTTAATTTTTTTAAAAAAGTTCTGAATATGATAGTTCTAGATTTGAAATAATGGAGACCTGGGAACCAGAGGAAAAAATCCTAAGTTATCACAGGCAAAGAATAGTGTGAGTTTGGCTAGGTACCTTTTGGTCAGCTGGAGAGAGATGAAGGGAGGGAAGCTGTGGCTGGTAATGGCCTCGTGTCTGAGTTTCTGGGAGAAAGGGAAAGGGTGGATCCTACCTGTATATCCTGGTAGACAGTACTAGAGCCAGGCAGTTGAAGGTTCCCCCCGGCATGCCTAACAGGGAACCTGCTCATTTGCTTGCGTATAATTTTAAAAAGGGAGGTAAATGTCCTAGAAACAGTCTAAATGCGACAAAGGTATGAGGAAAGAATCACATTGACTTTAAATTTTCAAGGCTTTCATCAGCTGCTTGGATTAAGGAAGGATGTAAAGGAGACAGAAATTTAGGCAACCCTATAAGCATTCTTCCCCTGAGAATCCTAATCACCTTGCTGCAGTACACCTCTCAGCAAGTTCCAATATATGGAGCACTTTTTTGTAGGGGATTTAGCCAGTGATTACTTGGAAGAAGGTAATGTGAAAATACATACAGTGTTAACTCTTTCTAAATGCTGCACAGTAGAAGAAATGCACGTAGCTCAAATGAATGTCATGGAGAGTTTCATAGAATATAAGCCAATAGTTATAAATATTCAGTAGGAAGAAGAAAAAAATGAACAAACAGGATGAAGTGGAATCATTAATCAAAGAGTGTGTATGATTTATGCTTTTTTGGACCTAATATTAATAAAAAATAGGTAAGAATTTTTTATACACCTAATATAGTAAAAGGACAGCTGACTATCATTTGAAGTTGAGTACTTTTCCTAAAACATAAAGCAACTAGACAGATACTTCTCAGAAGAAGATATACAATTGATCAACAAATATATGAAAAAATGTTGTTCAATATCTTTAGTTATTGGAGAAATGCAAATCAAAACTACTCTTAAGATTTCATCTCACAACAGAATAGAAATAGAAAGAAATAGAAACAACAATAAGTATTGGCAAGGATGAGGGGGGAAAGGCACACTCATACATTGCTGGTGGGACTGCAAATTGGTGCAACCACTTTGGAAAAAAAGTATGGAGATTCCTTAGAAAACTTAGAATGGAACCACCATTTGACCCAGCTATCCCATTCCTCAGGCTATATCCAAAGGACTTAAAATCAGCATATTATAGTAATGCAGCCACATCAATGTTTATAGTAGCATAATTCACAATAGCTAAATTGTGGAACCAACCTAGATGTCCTTCAGTAGACGAATGGATAAAGAAACTGGTATATATACACAATGGAATATTACTCAACATTAAAAGAGAATAAAATCATGGCATTGGCAGGTAAACAGATAGGGTTAGAAAATATCATGCTAAGTGAAGTAAGCCAATCCCAAAAATCCAAAGGCCAAATGTTCTTTCTGATAAGTGGGTGCTGATCCATAAGGAAGGGCAGGCATGGAAAAATGGAGGAACTTTGATTGGATAAAGAGGAGGGAGGAGGAGGTATGGGGGCAGGAAAGATGGTGGAATGAGATGGACATTATTACCCTAGGTACGTGTATGACTGCATATAAGTTTTGACATTACATCATGTACAATCAGAAATGAAAAGTTGTGCTGCAATTGTGTACAATGAATCAAAATGCATTCTGCCATCATATATACCTAATTAAAATAAATAAATAAATATTTTTTTTAAAAAGCAACTAGAATAAAAACCACAAGTATTACCAATAAATGGGTACATTTTACAAAATAACTCAGCTGAGTGAAAAAAGTGTAAAAAATTTGTCTTTATAGTTAAAGCTTTTTAATCTCTGACACATAACAATAATTGAAAGAATTCTGAGAAATTAGACAAAAGTATTTGGTGGATTTGAATTAATGGGCCAAGCAAGCTTCTTTTCCTTGGCTTCTCTGTCAAATGAATCATAGATTGAGTCTTTGGTTACAGTTTTGGCTATGGGAGGGATTTCTGAAATGCCAACATAGTTCTTTTTGGCCATCCTTGAACTTGTTGTGATAGTATAGGCATTGCTTCGGTAACATTTCATTGAGGACATGCAAAAAGTCTCTTTCATCCCTCTCCTAAAATTGGCATTATAAATTGAATACAGAGTAGGTTTAGAGGCTGAAGAACTAAAGGATATCCATGTGATAGCTGTGAAAACAAGGGAACTTTTCTTAAAATCTTGTTCATGGGGGTGCCACAGCTGAACTACATGAAAAGGCAGCCAAGAAAACAAGAACAACAGATTTAAAATGAGGAACATCTTGACTGTTTTCACTTTTGTCCTTGGGACAATGTTCATTGTCCTCCTCACTGTTCGGCCATCAGTGCCTATTCTCCAAATATACTTTATGACCTTCTGGTAAAATAAGATTATGAGGACAGATGGAATCACAAAGCCCACCAAGAAGTGGATGACAGTGTAAGCAGTTCCTTCCCAAGAGGAAGGGAGGAAATAGTTACAGTGACTGTCCCAGTTGGAGCCATAGAAAAAGAACACGGGGGTCACAAAGGCTGCATCAAAGATCCATGATGCTGCAATCATTTTCTTGGCTTTTTCTCTGGATACCTTGAAGCTCAGTGGGTAGACAATGGTGTAGAACCGGTCAATGCAGATGGAGAGGAGAACGTAGATCTGGACACCTGGAGTGAGATATTGAAAGTATCGCACCATCTTGCACATCGCGGTACCCAATGTCCACCTTCCAGTGGTGAACTGGAGCAGGACAAATGGAGTGCTGGCCACGCTTATGAGAAGGTCAGCACAGGCCATGGAGACCACAAAGTAGTTGGTGGTAGACTGAGTCCTCCTGCTCCTATGGATAACCAAACAAACCAGGGAGTTGCCAAAGATAGAAAACAACCACAGAGCCCCAAAGAAAATGCTGGCTGTGGCCACTTCCCCCGGTTTCAGTCCATATTGAAGGTCTGTTCTGTTGCTCGTCCAGTTGGGCTCCTCATATAAATCCATCAGGTCATGGCTTGGCAGAGGCGTGGCTGTTTCAGTGCAGCTGTGGTTCTGGAGGGACACCAGAGGTGTAGGAATAACCATAGGTGGCTTGCTGTGATCCATTCTGTGAGCAAAAACCATATTCACTTTTTTCCTCTTAGTTCTGGATAAGAAAAGAAGAATGAGGGCTCCTGTTAAAATGGTGTCATATAGACTGACTACTAAAACTAACAGTTTTATGACAGATTGGTTGTCATCTGTCAATGAGCAGGGCTTCTGCACTAGCAGGAAAACATAATTACTACCTGAAGAATTTCTACCCCCCCTCCATTTCTTTTTCATTTTAGAAAGAGCTCAGGCTCTCTCTGGACTCACCATTCTGACCCTCAATCAGATGTGGTAGAACTCATGTCACACCCTATCCCTGCACATGTCATTGTCTCCTTCACCCACTGAGGGTTCACGAGCTCACATCTGGCTCATGGTAAGTTTGTTACCACTAGCAGAAGAAGTGTTGGAAGTCTGGCCAACCAAGTGACAAGTTCCTAGATGTCATAACACACAATGAAGCTGCAAGAGAGGAAAGCTTGGGCAGAAGGAAACACAGACACTGGCTGTGGAAAAGGCAAATAGGAGTCTGTGAAAACAGACTGTCTGGCTTTGGAAGAGCCCTTACTGACTGCAGACCTTCTATTAGAAAAACATTATGGTAACACATGGAACAGTCAGCACTGCTCTTAATTTAATGACATCTGTAAACAGCTTCCTTTTCCAGAAGATGATGCAGTTCGTGTACTAACAGTGTGCTACCTACCAATGACGTTACTCTGATGTCATGGTATTGTTATTGCTTCATGAAAGAACATACAAACTGAAAAACATACGAGACATCCTCTCATGAGCAGATTACCAGAGACAGACAATTCAAAACAACACAATGTAATTGTTAACATTTCCCAAACAACTTTTAAAAGCTTATGATCCTTACGATATAAAATAATATTATAAAGTCTAGCCTTTATTTTATACTTTTTTGTATCATCCAGTGAGAAAAAAATTGACACTTTCTAATAGGTTCAAGAGATTTCAATAATTGTGGGTCAATTAAAATTGAAGTGATTTTAGTCATAGTTGGAGTATAAAGGTTTACTTTGGTCTGAATTAAGTAGAAAGAGAAAGTACAACTATTGAACCCACAAAAACTATAGCAACTATGATTATTGCGGTAAGAGGTAAAGATAAACACAGATGTTTTCAAAAATTTACCAATTAAAAGTAAAAGGCCCATGTGGGGTTACAGGCCCTGTGTTTGTTGTGCAGAGTCCACCAGCCTGTGCCATGAGGGGACGTGGCTCTGTCAATAGGCACTAGTGGGGACTATTTTCCCTCTGGTGGATTCCTGTGACTATACCTCATAAGAAACATTTCTGAAATGAAAGACAGGATTAAAGAAGTTTTAATAAAGGAACTCTTCTTAGAGACACATTTTTTTCCTTGGAAGATTTTTTTTTTTTTTTGTACTGGGGATTAAACCCAAGGAAGATTTACCACTGATCACAACCCCAGTTTTTTTATTTTTTATTTTGAGACAGTCTTGCTAAGTTGCTGAGGCTGGCCTTAAACTTGTGATCCTCCTGCCTTAGCTGCTTGAATAGCTGGGATTATATATATGTGCCACCAAGTCCAACTGTTATCTTGTTGATGAATTAATTCTTATAGCATTAAGAAATATTCTTTATCTCACAGCAGACCCACAAGCCTCAAGGACTGACTTAAGGTATCTCTGTCAAGATGTGAAGTTCCAAGCCAAGAAAGAGTGTTCCTATGCCAATAACTGTTCCTATTTTCTGTCTTATGTTCTGCCCTACCCAGTCTAATAACCATACCCCTCCCATATGCCCTAATGCCTCCTTCTACATGTTGGCCAGGTCTTTTTTCTTTAAAATAATTTTAACTAACACATAATAATTGTGTTAGGCACAACCAATATTTTCCATATTACAAAATCAGGATATAAAGTGTCAATACACGACACATACTTTAAAGTTAGTAATGCTCTAGAAAACCTGGAATGTTTGTACGTTTGTCTCCTCCATTAGGTTACAAGTCTCTCAGGGATTATGCCTTGTCTCTATATCCCTGGGATATTTAGATACTAATAAAGATTCACTAAACATATGAATGGGCACATATGTTAATACAAATTATCCAATACTTGAAAAGGTGGCAAAGGTATTGTTGTGCTGGGATGCACACCCCACACAGTTCCCTGGCAAACCTAGGACTTCCATATGCTGGACAAGCACTCTACCACTGAGCCACACCCTCAGTTCTATGAGACATTCTTAAATGGGCCTTCCTCAGGATTATTAATCCTCTGGAAAAAATGAGCTTGTGCTTGTTTTGCTATTTACTATTCGACCAGCACATAGACACTATGAAAATTACATGTCAACTTGTTGATTTTTGCATAAAAAATGACTCCAAAGTTAATGAACGTATTGCCTTGTAGGACATTAACCAACTTATGTCTACTTAGCTGAAATTGTTTTTATACTAACAATGTTTTTTAAAAAATGACTATAAATATCTCTTAAAAGGTTCTTGGAACCAGCTTTATTATTTCATTGATTCTTTCAGTAGTAAGTTAATAAATCTTTGATATATGTTCATTCTGTATTTGTTAAAAAGTCACAATTTTAACTTTTTGAAATTCATACTTTTTATGGCTAGCTGGCAGAATGAATGGATGAGTGGAAGCTAATATAAGAGAGAGGAGAGGAAAAAGGAAAAGAGAGGTACAGATGACAAACTCTGTGCTCTGCTAAGGGCTATTCCTGACTTTGTGTACCAATTGCTGGTTAGGGTTTTGTTTGTTTTAAAGACTCAAAAACCCTAACAAATGATTTTTATCCCCCTGAAGTTGTGAAGATTCACAAACATTCTCACCATTTTGGAAGACCATTCTTATTTCTGAGATTTGCTTAAAAATTTAATATCATTCAGGCATGGTGGCACATGCCTATGATTCTAGCTACTGGAGGGGTTGAGGAAGGAGGATAAGAAGTTTGAGGCCAGTCTGGGCAACTTAGCAAGACCCTGTCTCAAAATAAAATAAGGATTGGGGATGTAGGTCAGTGGTGGAGCATCCCTAGGGTCCATCCCCAGTCTAGTAATATATACATACATACATAGAATTTTTTTAAAAATTAGGTGTAGTTGGACACAATACCTTTATTTTATTTATTTATTTTTATGTAGTGCTGAGGATTGAACCAAGAACCTCGCACTTGCTAGGCAAGTACTCCACCACTGAGCCACAACCCCAGCACCACACATAAAATTTTTATGTGAAAATTTTTACAGTTTTAAAAAAGAAGCATTTTCCTTTTTTTTATTAGTTGCTCATGACAATACAATGATCTTGACATATCATACATTTGAATCAAATGGGGTATGAATTCTCATTTTTTCTAGTGTACAGGTTGCAGAATCACATTGGTTATACGGCCACGTATATACATACATCAATACTAGTGTCTATTTTATTCTGCTGCCCTTCCTATCCCCCCCTCCCCTCCCCTCCCCTCCCATCACCTCTCTCTACCCAATCTAATGTGACACTTTTTTTTTCTTCCCCCTCACATCATCATACATGTATTTTGTATAACGATGAGGGTCTCCTTCCATCTTCCGTGCAATTCCCCTTCTCCCTCCCATTCCCTCCCACCTTTCTTCTCTATTTAGTGGTAATCTTCTTCTCATGCTCTTCTTCCCTACTCTATTGAGTCACCACCCTTATATCAGAGAAGACATTCGGCATTTGTTTTGTAGGGACTGGCTAAAAAAGAAACATTTTCTATAGAATGGAAAGTATCTACTAGACCTAAGCAGATACATAATGCTATTTACTATAGAGCAGAACAGAAAGATTAATTACAGTGATGACCGTAGGTATAATGTTGGAATCACCCAGAGTTAATATTACTACGATCAGGCATTTCTTATGCAAAATGCTTCAATGTAGGTAATATTATTACTCTGTTTTTATTACTCTGTTTTACAAGTTTAAAAGCCTAAAGTTCTTCCTCTCAGGTCATATGGTTGGAAAGACTGCCTTGTCCTTAACTGTCATCAGGGCTTCATGTCCACTGAGACCACCAAGGGCTTGATCCGAATTCAGAAGGTCAAATGGGCCATACAGGGGTAGGTCCTTCTGGACTCTTCATCCAAACATAGGAATATGAAGCTATTCCCCACAGCCTCTTCCTACCCACAGATACATCTGTTCAATATGCCAGCTCAGAAATATGTGACACAGCAAACACTTTAAAAAAAGTCACTCCCACCACATACTGCATGGAGGCTTAGCATCAAGAGTGCAACAGACAAACTGGTCTGGAGATACAGCCTTTCTTCAGAATAAAGGGTGTGAGAGCGTTGGAAATGCAATATATGACTGATGATTAATTTGTCTTTTAAACACAGAATGAAAGCAGAGCTCCAGACTTTAGTTTGAATTGAAATGAGGAAAAGGTTTGATCAATGATGTTACCTACATAGGAAACTGTCTTTTTATAACTTAATTGTTTTATTTAAAAATTATATGGTGGTAGATATTTTTAATTCAACCTTTCCTTGTTACCTAGGCTTGGCTTGCCTGCACATAAAAAGAGAAACATGCCTGTAGCAGTAGTGGGCTGCCTTTGGTTTACATGGGGTTCTCCTGAGCCTGGTTAGGATTTTGTTTGTTTGTTTTAAAGACTCAAAAACCCTAACAACTGATTTTTACCCTCCTGAAATTGTGAAGATTCACAAACACTTCTTTCCTGTACACACTTCTTTCCAACTCAGGTTCAATGATATCATGTTGGTATCATGAATCAGCTATGATAGGAATGTTCAGAGCAGGGAAATAGACAAAACACCACAAAGCAGGGGTCTTCTCTTTGTAGAGCCAGTTATTAAAGATCTATCAGCACACCACTTCCAGGGGATCAGGGTTTATAGGGCAACCAATCCTGCAGTTCTGAACCTATATGCACCCATGAAATTAACATGGCTTGGGAGGCCACACAGGCTCTTCAGAAGCTTCCTGATGCTGTCTTGCTTTCTGGTCAAGAGCTAAGGCTTTGGTGTGGGATACTGAGCTAACTGTTTTAT